CCTCCTGCCCTCTGAAGATGCCCTCCTGCTCTCTGAAGATGCCGGTCACAGATGCTGGCGAAAGGTTAGGAAACAAAACTTCCAGAACACAGCCACACAGCCTGGAAGACCCACACCAGCCATCAATTAGTCTATTCCTTATCTCGTGGTAAATCTTCCAATCTCTTGAGGGAATTTAAGGAGTAAAAGGGGTACTTTCAGTTCAGCAGGGCCCCTAAACCCTAATTTCCTAAACCCCCTTTCACAGACACACCCCAAAATTGGGCTGGAAATCTTGGGCCCTCCTGTTCTGAGAATGCTCTTAGGGCTTCAGAAGCAGTGCTGGATGACCCATATACAGTCCTAAGCTACTCATTCACTTTCTGACAAGGGGAATGATAGCAATTTTTAAATTTGACCTGAAGTCTGGAAGTATAGGAACTTTACATTTGTCTATATCTATATTTCACTCTTTCCTATTTTACTCCTTTAAAAATAATGTCTGGATTTGCTGAAACCCAGCGGCTTTTTTCTGTAGGGATGAACCGGAGGGGCCAGAGTGAGATGGGACATTGTGACTAGGGGAAGCACCTCATCTGAGAAGCTGCCTTCCATTGATGAAGACTGTAATAAGCTCGGGGAGGAAAGACTAATTGGCAATGGAATAAATATCCAAGGGGACAGAATGGGAATTTTCCCACTTTTTCTAGAACTTTGAAAACGAGTTCAATTCTACGAAGAAAATTTAAAGTCAGATAATAAAGGGGTTTGCATTCCTAACATCAAATTTTCAGAGTAAGCACTGACTTGAAGACGTTGCAATGCACTGCAGTGACATTAAAAGAAACAGAGAAAAATAACTTATCACTCAATGTAAATGATAGAGATGCATTCTGGGCAGAAATCTGCTAGTAAGTAATGCCAAGAAAATACAGAAACAACTTAATTAAATAAGAATTGATATATTTACCTGGAAAATATATGGTACCATTCACTTCACAATAGCAAGGTGTTGAACTCTCAGTGGGTAGAGTTGTGGTTAAAGTAGTTGTCATAGTGTTACTAGTTGTAAATGGTGTGGAAGTGGTTGTAATTGTGGTAGTAGTGCTTGGGGTAGTGGTAAGTGGTGTGGAGGTGGTAGCAGTAGGGGTGGGTGTAGGCGTAGATGGAGTGGTGGTGATCGTGGTAGTAGTGCTTGGGGTAGTGGTAAGTGGTGTGGAGGTGGTGGTGGCAGTAGGGGTTGGTGTAGGTGTAGATGGAGTGGTGGTGATTATGGTAGTAGTGCTTGGGGTAGTAGTAAGTGGTGTGGAGGTGGTGGTAGCAGTAGGAGTTGGTGTAGGCGTAGATGGAGTGGTGGTGATCGTGGTAGTAGTGCTTGGGGTAGTGGTAAGTGGTGTGGAGGTGGTGGTGGCAGTAGGGGTTGGTGTAGGCGTAGATGGAGTGGTGGTGATCGTGGTAGTAGTGCTTGGGGTAGTGGTAAGTGGTGTGGAGGTGGTGGTGACAGTAGGGGTTGGTGTAGGCGTAGATGGGGTGGTGGTGATTGTGGTAGTACTGCTTGGGGTAGTGGTAAGTGGTGTGGAGGTGGTGGTGGCAGTAGGGGTTGGTGTAGGCGTAGATGGAGTGGTAGTGATTGTGGTAGTGCTTGGGGTAGTGGTAAGTGGTGTGGAGGTGGTGGTGGCAGTAGGGGTTGGTGTAGGCGTAGATGGAGTGGTAGTGATTGTGGTAGTGCTTGGGGTAGT